GCCTCTTCCTTCCTCCTTGTTGGTATCCAGAACAAGATTTTGAGCGCTCCGTAACTTTTCCGAAGTGTCTCGCAATTGCACTGCAGAAACTGCCTCTAATAACTTGAAATTTATCAAACTCATAATTTCTTTGTTTCTGTCACATCTTCTCAATAAAGACGTCTTTGCGCCTTTCAAGTTTTTCGTGCACGAAAAAAGTCCTAGGTCTGTAGAAGCATCACCATGTTTTGAATCCAAGCTTTTTTTGCCTTGAAATAATCATTTGTAATTTGTGACGTAAGTTCGAAACCCTACAAGTGAGCTATCCAGTGTGCAGAAGAGAAATTCAGTGACTGGGAATCTTAACCAATTGGACGTATTTCTACCAAACAGACCTACGTTGAGGTGAGAAATATGGGATGTGCTCTAGAAATCTGCATAAGAAGCAATGTAAAAGTGTGCGTGATTCCTTTTGAAGAATTGGAAAAGCGGGATATTGCATTCTATCAAACAGACCTATGTGCAACTGAATGCGGGATATATGAGCCGCGGGGATGGCAAGAGAGCTTCTTATGCAGATTTCTAGAGCACATCCCATATTTCTCACCTCAACGTAGGTCTGTTTGGTAGAAATACGTCCAATTATGCTGACTCAACTTGTAGATCACCAAACTCGCATTCAAAATCGGTAAAATCTCAAGCTGAGAAGTGATGTTATGTTATCTTTCGACTTCGACACTGAAAAGTTAATTCAACATTGGCCCTTACCTTACCAGACCATTCACTTTTTCTATTCAAAATAACCCTATTAAGCTCATAGATCCTTGTAAAACTATCTTATTTGTCCCAAATATAGATGGGGTTCGTCAAAGTTGCAACTGATATTGGAAGTGCTAATGGCGATGTAATGGAACTGCCGCTAGAAGGCGATCAAACTCTGTCACTCACCACACTCACAGCCTCGTTTCCGGAGGCCTGTGGACTGAAGTATAAAAGCTCCTCAGGATTCACAGGAGGAATTAGGTGTGTAAATGGCTGTTTTTATCCACCAAGCACTGATGGCTGGGGGAGTGAAGTGTATCTTTGCATTTTCAAAGCCAGTGAAGGTACGTCTCATTCACATCACTTTTATATGATAAAGGTCCGCTATTTACTTGGCTTCTTTTGTCATTGATCCTATTCCTAATGAAACCAACTTTATTCTGTTCTCATTCCTATCATTTATTGCTGATCGTCCTGGAAAAATTATGCTCCACCTGCCAGTAGAACAGACTCATCGTATGTTAGTACCAAAGCCAAGTATTGCTTATTTCACCACTCATCAATGGTTCCATCTGACTACTTGTATTATAACCAGTTTAATGGTGCTGGTTCAGACCTAATCAGAGATTGACATTCGTCTCAAAGTATGGTGAGTCTGTTCGACCAGGAGTTTTCATTAGACCAATCAATTTAGACCGAGAGTAACCGAGTTTAACGATGAAAATATGCTACTAAATTTTCAAAGTGGCTGTTACAGAATCAAACTGAAGAAAGTGCTTTCCTCTCTTTTGATGGACATCGACGATGTCTGAACGTATGTAGGGTCGGGTGTGGAGAAAGTTCTTCACCCTCACATTTTTTAAGGCACCCTGAGCACTTTTTGAGGTCGCTGTCACATTGTTGTCCACATAAAACTTGCACCTTTCACTGTTTCCTTCCCATTAAAGAACGCCCATAACTACTTTTTTCCATATGACAGTGCATTACACAGTGGCCTTTGATAAAAGCTGTGATCTTAGCTGGTTTATGCCACATTCTCTTCGCTTTCTGCAAAACCACCACTTTCTCCACCACTGTCAAGGGTCTCTAGCATCAATTTTTTTATCTTCATTTTCTGAAAGAACAAAGAAAATTAGGTTTCTGGCAAATTTTTAAAATCATTTTTTAGTTAGAAATCGCCCAGAAACCTGTAGTTAAAACCGTGAAGTATTTGACCCGTTTGAAGTGATATTTTTGCCACCCTCTGATGATATAGGTAGACATGCAAAATGACAAATGCTTATTTGCTTTGGAATACCGAAACCACCATGAATCTACACCATCTTGACTGGAATTTTGGTTACCTTTTTTACAAATGCTGTTTTGAACTTTTTGATGTCTTATCAAATTTTTAAAACTGAAAATGACTGTGTAAAACTCTGAACAAATTTTGTGTTACTGACCTTTAACTAATGCGTATCTCTCACAACACTACTTAAATGTGCCGGGTACCCTGACCAACCGATGAACTGATTTTTAAAAAAAATCATGCATTTTAACGGTATGGAAACTATGTATAATTATGGCAAATCAACTCAATGGAATACGAATTTATACTCTAGAAGTCCCCCCCCCTCTCCTTCCCTTTGGGTCCTCTGGGTACTTGGGAGGGGGAGGGAGGTTTGGTTTAACTTCTGTCACTCCTCATATGCCTGGAAAAAGTGGTTTGTTGTCTTAAAAATGATACTAAAAAAAATTTCAATGAAAGAAGCAACAAAATGAGTGTACACAGACTCAAGGAGACTCGCATTAGCGCTGCTCTACAGTCAGCTACCCCCATTTACAACTCGATGTAATTTCAGGAGGATTCATTGTAATTTGGGCGGAAACATTTTGTTCTCTTGGTTATTTGCCGCGGAAGGCTCCAATTTGTGGGGGCCATGATGCCTTAAACAAGGCCCCTTTTGAGTCATAGATTTTAAAAGTAGTTGCCGCCATAAAGATCCAGATTAGGAACCAACCATAGTTTTTATAGAAAGTTGCACAGAAGTATTTCTAAAGGATAGACTGAAGCTCTAGCTAATGACCGTCGAATTCGACGGAGAGGGATCAGCCAGTTTTAACCATGTTTGCGAAGAACCGTTTGTTATTAAATTAACTTGGTCATTAATTTCTTTCTGTTTTCAGGTTCTCCTTCACTTACACCACTGACCACTAAGAGGGCTAACCCCTTCCAGTCGATGTACGGATCAAAAAATGAATGGATAGTAAAGAAAAATAAAACCGAAGCCATGCTATCTTCTGCCTCTGCAGCGGGACCAAGTGATACTGTTACAAAAAAAAAGAATTATAAAAATTTTACTCGAGATTTTGTCCTTCTTCAGAATTGTACGATCCCGAAAACTCCTCTCTCTGACAATGCATTTGATGCTCTTGGAGCAGAAGGCCTCGTTTTTAGAGGCATAAAATTCACCACTGCTATGTCCGATGTGGATGTAGTGAAACAAATTAACAAAGCTCTAGAGGCATCTAAACTCGGAAAGAGTATCGATTTCACTCTTATTAACACGAAATTAAAAAAAAATGGACCACTTTCATGTTGCCAAAAATGTCGCTTTATTAGATGGGCAGTTTCTTTTTGAGCGGACATCATTAAAATACTTTATATACATTGTTCCAAAGCAAAACTTATTCGACGAAGACAACTCCAGCAAATCTTTTTCTGACAGCGATTCATCTGATCGTGGTGTATTCATGTCGGTACCAAAGAAAAAGTTCACCAAAACATCAAAAACAGCACAGAAGAAGAATCTGAATGGATCTGGTTCCGATGACACAAACCTCACAGGAGAGATAATTCAGTGTTATAGAAGCAATGCCCAAAACACTCAACGCACCTTCGTGAAAGTAAACCGCCAAGAAAAGGTTTTGCCAACTCTCATTTCAAGAATATCAGATAAAGAATTTATATTTACAGCAAAACCATCAGTATCTTTCATATCAGAATGTGGTGTGGGTTTCGGTCCTACAAAAGCACTATGCAGCAAAGCTCTAAATGAAATAAGAGTATCTGACTTCTTAGAAGGCGGTGATTACCTGAAGACGTTTATAAGATGTGAGCCTATGCTTGAGGAATTTGAAAAATACGGAAAAATCTGTGCGTGGAGTATCATGCACAGTGGCATAACGCCTGCCTTTTTTAACAGAGTTTTTGTGGAAATTCTTTTACGAGGTTCTGAAGAAGCACTTAAAATGAACCTAACGCTTGCAGATGTGGCTAACAGTTCTATCAGACAAGAATTACAAGTTGTCATGGAGGCAGAGGATGTGGCCTCAATCAATTCTGCAATGGCGGATTCCTTGCTTTTCCAGTACATTAGAACCTACACTAGAGTGACACGTGCCAACTTCGAGGAAGAACGAACCATTGCTGTGAAAGGTAAATTACTCCGTTTTCATTGCACGACCTTGCCGTAGGTGTATCAGAGGAATTGTCGGGGGACGGGGCTTTGTCCTTGTCTTATCCACTGGAACCAATAGAAAGCTATCGAATCACCCCTAAGGTGGAGAGAACGAGAAGTTTTTTCGAACTCCAACATGTCCAGTCGAAATTTTTACATGGATGGGTGACGTATGGAAAGGCTGAAAAAGGAAAAAAATACGAACATTTATTTTAGCCTCTGCCAGTTGCCTAAAATTTAGGATATTGGGGTAAAATGCAAATTTTTTCCTTTTTTTTCAAGCTGAATCATAGCTCAGAACTATCTGAAATTTGACTCAACACAGTAGGCGGATGGTTTCAAAACGGCCCCCAACATTGCCACTCCTAACATCGATTTTCTTCATTTTCAAGATGCCACCAAAAGCCCAAAACTAAGTTCTCCAATTTTTTTCTTCAGAACAAATTTTGATATAGCAAATTGAGTACACGACCCTGTAGGGACAACCTCTCGGTTTTTCCCAAAATCCCTACTTTTCTAATTTGGCCCCTGCAAGTCGCTTAAAGTTTTGAACTTGTAGGTAAAAATCGATATTTCAGCATCCATTTTCAATGCAGCTAAATTTCAGTAAAAGTGGCCGAAAGTCCCATTTTAACATCCAAAGTTACTTAGTTAAACAACGCTGAATAATGCCTGAGAATTTTCTAATCCCAACAGAACATTTTTAGATGGGCGCCATGTTGCCATTTTTTAGCCTTGAAATATAGCAATATTTTTTTTATTATTTCTTTTTTAAAAAACATGATATAAGTTTCAAAATGTGAGATTGTGTTATATAATGCGCCTACTTTCATCTAATTATAACTTCAAAACTCTATGAAACTTCTGAAAGTAATAAAAGTTGTCACTTAGTCCAATTGCTGAAAATTGGCAGTGTGCATACTTTTGCGAACTTCATTGAGTTTTGAAGTTTTTTAAAACTTTACGACACTGGCGGAGCCTAACAAAAATTTGGATATTTTTTTTTCCTTTTTAACCAATTTCCTACCTCAAATATACACCAAAAAAAAATTTGGCCACCAACCACTGTGGAAAGCGTCCACGGTGTAACATCATACCATGTACTTTGCATGACAGAGTGATGCTGCTCCTAACGTTGTTGAATAGTGGAAAACATATTACCTGTTTTTAGTGGGCAAACTTAAAGCTCATTTTTATTGATTTATGGTAGTTCACCAAACTTGAGCAAACACACTTCTAGATCTGCTTTTAATAAACGAAATATAATGGGCTGAGCTGCTTAGTTAGAGATTAAAGAGCAAACACACAGTGATGTTACTGTTTAGGCAGGAGGGGTTGAATATCTAAACAGCCAATACCTATTATATTTTCTGTATGATTAATGTGTGCAAATTTGTTTCTTTCATGTCACAGCTGCGTTACAGCACTGCTGTGTGAAAAGGATTGCGGATGGAGTCGAAGCTTTTGGCAAAGGATTTAATCAATATAATCTATTGACGTTTCTTAAAGCTCAGCCAGAAGCAGCCAAAGATATATTTTGTCAGAAAATAGAGAAGATTTACTCAAAAGAAATGTTGCTTTATCAGTTTCATATTAGCAATGATGATAGAAAAACACAAGTTTACAAATTTCTTGTAACATACTTGGAAAAAGCAGAAGGTAAGTTTTTTGTACAATGCAAGCAGTGCAAGTGTTTTGTGCAGTTTTTTGTACAATTATGAGGTAATTATAGATGAATCAAAGGACCCTGAGAACCAGCCAGGTTTTGGTAAAATTTTTGAAAAAATTGAAGCTTTGTCTGTTCAGATAAAACTGTATCTCCGATTTCTGCTACTAACTTTATCTGAAAATACCGAAGCTTCACAAGGCTGGTCTACTTAAATTTTCTTTTTAAAATTGGTAGATACGCCATTCGTAATTTTGAAAGTTGAAACTTGTTCTTTTGGAAATGGTAGGAAGTGTACTTACAGCCATCTGATTTTAAGGACTGCAATTGCAAAGTTATGGGATTGCAGATAAGATGAGTCACGGATAGTTTTATTGCTTTTGGAAAACAATGGGCGTTAATGATATGAGTGTTTTCTCTTTTTTATGGGAAGCCATTTATACTGATGTTAAGAGGCACAAGTGCATTAACCAATTTCAATCGATGACGAGAAATCAACACCCCTTTTAAGTGGGCAATTCTACCTTAATGGCGGTCAACAACTTCTTAGAGAGCATATTGAGAGGCTTTATAGATGGATATTTTGGTCAGTGTAAGTAACAATGGACACTTAAATCAATGTTGATCAATATCGATAGCTGTTTATCATACGATCCTTGCGCAGTGCACATCTCTGCCCAAAAGAACCTCTAAGATAAAGCGTTGTTCCTGCAATGTGTGTTGTGTGAAATATGAGTTTAGCAAAGGTTTTTTTACCAGTTTCCTTATATATTTTTGTAACAAAATCTTTCATCCGCCATTTAATTGTGCCAGTGTGTTGAGTTACCTTTGTTTCTGTTTCTGGTTTCTTGCTTTTCTTCAACATTTTTCTTATAATAATTAATCGTTCATTTTCTCTTTGTGTTTACAGGTCCGGCACCAAGATTTTCCCTCAACAATATACTGGAAAGTATCACAGGGCATGTGACTATCCCGCCTTTAGGATATGGAGAGTGTAAGCCTACCATCCAGGTTACAGATACAGAATCTGTTCGTATCAGGGAGTGCTTCAACCGTCAGGAACTTCCTAGGTCAGCAGATGATTACGACATCTTTGAAATGACCTTCAATATTGCTCTTCAAGATGTAAGTTATACCGAAGTCTAATAAAGGATAGGCTAACAGGAGTATTGCCCATTTAATGGGCCTTTTACAAAATTTTGCTAGAGCAAAAATAAGAGTTGTCTTTTATAGAAAATGTCTCAAAAAGCGTGATGAGCGCATTGGCCAAGTCTGAAGTGCACTCCTAACTTTACAATCTGTGTAAAAGATTTGTGTTTTTTTTAACGCACTGCTTCAAAAACAATACTACAGGTTAACATTTTGTTAGAGGAGTCGTTCCATGCAACCCCTATGCCCTAGGATATACTACACAATATTCAACATGGCCGACACCAATCCACCAAAAACATGTAACGCGAAGAGATTCCAACATTTTTTTAACAACTAGCATGTTTTCATTCACATTTTCCTCGCGTTGATAAAGATCCGCCTTGATTGGCCTTCGTGTTCCTCTCTTTGCGCAACTATGTTGAGTAGTACGAAACATCCGAGTGTGCAAAGGTTGAATGGAACGACTCCTGCAACGAAATATTCACCTGTGCTGTAGTATAGCTTTTGAAGTGCGGAGCTTAAAAAAATGCATATTTCTTATGCGGATTGTGAAGTTAGGAAGAATTTCAGACTTTGCTGATGTGCTCATCATGATTTTTTGGCCGTTTTCCGTATGAAACAACAATCATTTTTGCTCTAGCAAAAGTTTGCAACAGGCCCATTGTAATTTTAACTTGCATTCAGTATTAGTACAAAGTATTAATTTGAAGATTTTGTTCCTTTATTCACTTTTTCCTTTTTCTTATTAAACATATTCGCACACAATTTTTTGGGCACTAAATATAGCTTCTTTTATAATATTTGACCCATGTATTTATTGGCATTTTTTGTTTTCCTCTCACAAAGGCTCAAGAAGTTGAACTTTCGATGGCCGGACTTGTGGCAAAAATGCCAATTTTTTTTTTTACCTACTTCTCTTAAGTACCAATGTTTGTTACCTAGTTATTAGTACCCCTTTTTCTGGAATGCTTGTGCTTAACCAATGTATGTACTTAAGTATTACCAAATTTGTCTTTGCCATGGATTTACCAAATGTGTATTATGGCATACTTTTACGTAAGGTATGCCTTGTTCCTTTTTTAGCTTTAAAATGACTGATTATGTGTTGTTAAAATAAGTTACGCCCACCTAAGTGCTTTTATTCAGTCCATGTGGATAATTTGAGCTCTAAAGTGATATTTTACAAGGCTGCATTTACTCAGGCATCACCAAACGTGTCTTTGACCTGGGTTACCTAATATGTATTTTGACATAATGTTAGGTTAGGTATGCATTGTTTCTTTCTTAGCTTTAAAATGACTGATGTTGTATTGTTACAATAATTTACTTCCACCTCAGTGGTGTTATTTAGTCAATTCCGACCATTTGAGCTGTGAAGTGAAAATTTATATGGCTGCATTTACTCAGGCATTACCAAATGTGTTTTTGACATAATGTTAGGTTGGGTATGCATTGTTTCTTTCTTAGCTTTAAAATGACTGATGTTGTGTTGTTAAAATAATTTACTTCCACCTCAGTGGTGTTATTTAGTCGATTTCGACAATTTGAGCTGTGAAGTGAAAATTTATGGGGCTACGTTTACTCAGGTATTAACAAATGTGGTTTTACCATGGATTTACCATGTGTGTATTTTGGTGTGAACTAAGGTTCAATATACATCATGCCTTTTTGACCTTTCAAATAACTAATGTTGTGTTGTTAGAAGGATTATTATTATTATGGAGGTCCACTAGTATGGCATATTATTTGCAACTTGTAAACACACCAATTTTCTACCTCAACTTACATCTTCTTTTAGGTAAGGACAACCATCACATACGAATATGGTCCTGTTTAAGATTTATATTAAGTTTCTCATTATATACTCTCATAGTATGTATTCATTTGTATGAGGATTTGTTCATTCATACTCAGAAACATATAACCGTCTTGTCTCATTAAACCTTCATCGTAGATTTTCAATAAAATAATTTTTTCTAAAAAAAGGAAAATAATTTTTTTGATTCTCAAATCGCAAATTCATAATTCCTTTTAGGCACCTTTCCTTTGACATAATTACATTCTGACCAATTACAGACCAATGAATCTGACAATACAATTCTACCCCTTGGTATTGTTTTAATTAATATAGTAAATAATTTTTCTTTAAGCTTCACCTTGTGGTTCAATACATTTTATTTAAATTTGGGCACTGAAAGTATTTTTTTGGTCCAAACTTTTTGGTATATGTAGTTCACAGATAGAATTACTAAAATTAATTAAGTTTTAAAAGAAAATCTAGTACTTATTATCATTTTTGAAGATTACTGAATCAGAAATAAATTCATTAGATATTTGATTGGGAAACAATCATGTAGAAATTCCGATTTGCTGTGGTGAGAAAAATGGAGAATTACCAAAATAACTTACAAAATAATAATTTATTAAAGAAAATAAAAAATGAGATGAACAAAAATGCGCGATCTCAAACATTTAAAATTTAGGAAAAGAATGAGATATGATGATTTTGTGCAATGCTATATAAATGATAGAATAATGACAAAAAGAAAAACACAAATAAATTCTTGATAAGAAAAAGTTAACAGAAGGTAACTCCATTGATAAGCATGTTAGATCAGGTAAAAGAACTTTCTCATATAAAAATATGTAACGCATACCTATGCTATGTTAATCATACATAGCGTTTCATATTTTCATGTGTTGGGTTTTCAGACCCAAAGGATAGTTTTATTTGTCATTTTTAGTGGATATATTTTCAGTTCATTCTTCCCGCTATTTCTACCGCGCTGCCCACCTTCTCCTCTCTCCCCGCGTTGTCACCCGCGCCGCCTTAGCTTTTCGCAGTGCGCGCGCCGACATCGGCGCAGCTTTTCTGCGCAACCATGCCTCGCGGTGGCCGGACCGCAGCCCGTGGACGAGTGGGCCAGCACTCAGCTTCCAGCCGGCGCAGCAGATCTCGTCTCTCCCGCGGTACGCTCGACGTCACTTCTCATTGTAGGTATCTTTTCGCCACGACGTTTTTCCGTGGTATGATTTCCATTTTCCTCAGGAAGCACATACCCTGAGAAGACCCTAGGGACGCACATTCCCCTATTTGCCCCAGGACGGTTTTCCCTGGGAAGCTCATTTCCCCAGGACGGTTTTCCCTGGGAAGTTTATTTTCCTCTTTGCCCTTTAGTTATTATCATTCGTTGTTCGCTCTCCTGTCTATATCATCGTCTCAGTATTTTCCTTTCTTCTTCTCGTGGTGGGATGCCTAGGTACGCGGTACGCCTAGTTGCCTTGGGTTCTGTCCCCGAGATGATCCTCCTTCTTTCTTTTTAGTTATTTTTTCTCGTTTTCTCCTTCTCTTTTTCACGGTCCTCCGAACCCTCTTTTTCACTCCGTCTACGGACGCGACATCATGTAAGAAAGTTAAAATTTCCTACATTTTGAGGATCCAAAGAATAAGTTCAAAATTCGAGGTTTTCAAGTTCGAGTTCGATTCGGATATCCAGAAAAATATTCAAGATTTTCAAATATTCACCCGGCTCTAAAAACAACACAATAAAAACTCTTTTGGCACCAAAATATTTTCCTTGACAATATTTAGTACCTTAATTCTGCAAGCATCGTAACACCAGGAACTGTACAAAGAAATTGGTTAACATTCATTCTTATTCTGCTGCTTTTAAGCATGCCCATTTTTAGAAACAGAGAAACTGGCGTTGACCACAGGTACAGGGATTTACTTTGAGTAAAATAAAATAACTTCCTCATGGGTGCCCTTTTGTTACAATCAGAACTTTCTGAACATATGAGGGTAAAGCCGCGGAATTACAAATTTTCAGCCTCCACGGCACTTCCGGAAATAAGTTTCTTTCAACCAAGACATATATGTTTCTTGGTAATTTAAATTTGCTTTTGCTATTCTTCCTTTCAAACACTAAATTTTAAAAGGCAGGGTGTAGACAATTTTTTTTGAATTTTGACTTTTATAACGAACTTGTGCTTGTGAATGGCAAGATTTGAGAAGAACTCGCTCAAGAGCGTGAAAATTGCCATTTTTTGTTAATTGATTGTAAGAACACTGCAATTTTTGCACTGATGCTACTTGGGCACTATCACCTGGGCCAAGCCAAGCAGGTGAAAACGCCCCTGACTCAAGCTCCATCAACCACTCAGACTCGTTTCTTTTCTTATTTTTGTAAGGCGAAAATAATTACTATCACCACAAAAAAAATTGGTGGCAGCAGTATCCTTATTATATGCATAGAGTTTTTCGTCCTAAAAGCATTTTCTCAAATCATTTGAATAAAATAATATTCACTCTCAGAGAAAGAAAAGGGAACATATCTGTTAATTTTGCTCATCACACCTATGATAAAAACCCTGAAGAACTAGACTGCTTAAGGTCCAGCCTCTTCAGAGGAAATTATTTGGAACAAGTTGACGATGAATTCTGTTCGCTCAAAATATTGCCGTTTTACTAAAAAAAAGTAGAAACTCGGGTCTTTACAAAATTTGCATTTTAACGCAAAATGACAATTTTACGGGTAGACACATCTAACCTGGAAAGAAAATTTTGAAGTTGCAATGGGTCAGTTGCGTTGGTCACAGAATCGTGTTTTGATGCTTGATTCTTGTAGATAAGCTAAAAATAATAAGCTCTGTCCAAACAGCAACTTTCAACGTTCAATCTTAACCGAGATATGGCACTTTGAAAAGTTGAGTTTTGACGTCATCCACCACGGTTGACACTCTTTGTTTCTTCCATCTTGCTTTCATCCGAGTTTCACATTTAGTAACAAGCGCAAATGTGCATCACACTGACTGATGAAAGCAAGGTGGAAGAAACCAAGGGTGTCACTACCGCGGTGGATGATGTCATAAATCGAATTCTTCAAAGGGCGATATCTCAGTTAATATTGAACGTAGAAAGTTGCTGTTTGGACAAATCTTATTATTTTTAGCTAATCTACAAGAATCAAGCATCAAAACACGAGTCTGTGACCAGCGCAACTGACCCATTAAAAAGGAAGGAAAATCAGGATTATCATACAATGATCAAAGAGATATGATCTTTATTCTCATACTTCTAATACTCTATATACTTGGGATCGCCATTTGAAAATTTCTGCTTGAGTGTAGATACAACTAGCCATTGAAACTGCCTCTTCCTGGTTAAAGTAGAGGCATCCAAATGCTTCAAAGTAGAGTGACTACCAACTTATGGAACGATTACAAAAAAGACATTAGCCGACTGCAGGGAGAAAGATGATTGTTTCACCCGCACATCACTGGTCACCTTCCAAATTGAGCAGGGTACTAAATTACAGTTGGCAAACACGATAATGCCTCCAATTCCTCACAGTCTATTTGGTTATCTACATATGTAGCATGGAACTTCAAAGCAATTTTAAAGGTCTTTACTTTGACCTCGGAGCAGTGACTTAAGAGTGATTTTAAGTGTTGAGGGAGAAAAAAGACTTGTATCTCTGAAGAACATAAAACTGGCACAGATTTGAACCAACACCTCTCCTCCTCCCTCTTTCACGATTGTGTGAGGGTGAGAACAACTTGTGCACTTACACATACACTTTTTTTCTAATTTAGACAGATAATGAAGTCATGATGAGTAAATAAAAATATATGTAGCGGTAAATTGGATTATTTTGGGCTATCATATGGACAAGAGATCACTAGACTTAAGCTCTTTTTAAAGCACAGTCAGTCATCTCTAAGCTTTTCATGTCTCTGCTGAGAATTGATGAGAGGCAAACAAAAAAGTAGGTTCCAACTTTCCAGGAATATAAAAAAGAATTATAAAAAAATATGCTCATTGGGCTATCAAAGAGTCACGAATTGCGTTGACTAATTCCAAGTAGAGATTTATGCCACTGTTCCCGTCATCTTCGAGCGGATCAGGAATGACAGTTCGTGCAAACTCGTGCCTCTCCATATTCAATGTCTCTTCTTCAAGATCCTCTGGTTCAGGCACTGGATGACACAGGACAGTTTCAGGGGTGCCATACTTCTCTGTAAAAAACATAGCGCTGGGGGTTTTACAGTGTGCACTTCTCATGCTGTGCACATTCCAAATAGAAACAAAGTCATCCAAGCTTTTTTGTATGCGTGGTAAATAGATGTAGTGTAAAGCAAAAAGTTCAACTGGATCACCAGTATCCAAAATGCCTTCATTTTCAATACTTTTAAAAAGGTCTTTAAAGGGTTTTGTTACATCATTTACTTCCCCCCAAAAGCGCTCAATGCGTACATTTTTTGTGGAGGGTCCCGTAAAAACTGACTGTTGGCGATCCAGCGCTTGCCCATTTACCTCCATGAATTCAGCAAATTTGACGTTTTCTGTACCCTCATCTATTCGGAGGAAGCGAGGTAAGCCATATTTCAGAGCCGCTTCATAAAACACTTTGAAAGGTGTCGTCGCTCTCTTATTGTTTGCAGCGTAGAGGTAGATAGGGTAGCGACTGTGTCCATCTACACATCCGTGTATGTAAACACCAAACATCTTTGGTTTTTCATTCCCGTCGGCATGCCTAAAACACAAAAAAAGACTTCAAATGACAAAACAGAGGTGTTCACAGAAACTTCATTGACATATCTGGCCAACTGCCATAGTTTCTTTACCCCATGAAGCACATTACTGACAATGAGTTCTATATTATATATGTGTTGAAGGGCCAAACATCTCTGACAAGGATTTTTAAATTTTCAATATGCATTACACAACCTGCTTTGTTTCCTTGACTCGGCTAATTAGATCAGGCCATGTTACTATCATAAAAATTTTTGTGAACTATCTTGATGACCCCTTGTGAAGGAGATTGATTAGTTAATTTGATAAATAAAAATAGAATATGCATCTTCAATTAAATCCCTTGTTAAACTTTTACTTACTTAACTTCTCCTGCATAAACCCACTCAAAACTGGAATATAACTAAGGAGTGGAACCTTTTCATTGCAAAGAACACGAGAACAACTCTAATCTTCTCCTTTTGAATTTAGGATAATTAAGTTAGTTATTATTACCTCTAATTCTAAGTACTCATGACCATTAATATGCATTGCTAAATTCTGAGGTTTTGATTTCTTCCGTTATGGTAACTTTTAGGCTGAGCCATAACAAACATTATAAATGGCTGATTAAGTCATGGTCTTTTTTGCATGGCATAGAAAATGGACTGCTCAAAAAAAGGAGTTAAAACCTAATTATTACTAGCCGTTCTGGACGCGCTTCGCGCGTCCGTCACGCCTAGCCAAGGGGCTGCGCCCCCTGGACCCCCGGTCACTCGCTTCGCAAGCCATTTTTCTGATTAGTTGGACATTAGATCACTATGTTGTATACATTTTGGAGGCTCTCAAGACAAAAATGATTTTGTCACAGAACCTTGTTGCCGGAGTGTGCCATCACTTGCACATTAATAAATATGTGGAGATGAGGCAATGATGGGGACCGATCATTTCTTCAAAAATGCATTTGACTGGGACGTTAGTCCCATCGGGTGGAGGACATTGACGACCGTGGATGCCCCTCCGCGATTTGACTTGCTGAAGTAGCAAAAGTTTATCTTTCCTCCTAAGAAGATTATCGGTGAAGTGGGGATCTAAAAGTTGCTCAACGATAGTATAGTTCAAGTTCTGAATAGCTATGAGCCGATTTGTGTTTTTTTTATAGTTTCATTGCATATAAAGGAGGGGTATCGTTAAGGGCCTTTTTTGGCCCCACTCTAAAATTCCTCAACTCCGCGATTTTTTGGTCATTGAAGGTCTATATTTTACGGAATGCACAATGGTTTTGTCATTTCCGGTCTATTTCGGGGTCTACCACTGGCCTAAACATGGGTCTGAAGGCCAATTTTGGCGAAAAATGCGGGTTTTTCAGCATTCGACGCGCTGTTTCGTAACGATCCCTTCGGAGGACAAAAAAATCCTTCAAGTATGTTCATTAGGGATGTAAGAGAGTCACTTTGGCCAATTTTTGTCGATGTCAAACTTTGCGCTCATAGTTAAAAAAAACTTTTTAGAATTTTTCTTGTTTTTCATCATTATTTAAACTGGCTTAAAAAAGGCGACTCATCTTACACCAGAATTAAACTTTTTTGGCAGAAAATGGTCGTGGGTGGTCAAAACCTTCCTCTAAGAACTTTTTCCGATTTAAAGCCCCCCAAAAAAGCCGGTGTTGCCATATTTCATTGCCTAAAATCATAGAAAACCGAGTACTTATTTCAGTATTGGGGGGCTATTTCTCGTCGAGCTCATTCAGAAAAGTCCATAAACCTTCATTTTTCATATGTTATGGCCAAATAACCAGTAATTACATACATTTATCTAACTACAGAACCTCCCATCGCGGCACGGTGTTGCCACATCATCGGGGAAAAATCGAGAAAAATCCACGTTTCCCTGGATTTGAGCCATTTTTTCGGATTATGCGGATGGAATAAAGTTGAAAGACTTAAATTGCAGTATTCAGAGATGCAAGTGGATCATACCTTGTGCCGGTATTCATTATTTTAATATATTGCGCTTATAGACAACCTATATTCTTACGATTTCTAGGCACGATATTTGCGCAAGAGGATGCGACTTTCAAACATTGGCCGTGATCTGAAGTCCGAAAGAAAGTAAGCCATGTGTCAGAATCGCGAGTCCTCAATGCTGAATTTTTACCCGCCCTGACAACCACCACCATCCCCCTCCCTCCCCCAGCCCTCTTATCGGCAGCGATTGTTCAGAATTCTACTTCCTGATTTTTTTTCTCAATTTGCATACTTAGTAGAGGCACAAAGCACATGGAGGATGAATTACGATATGTGTGAGATTTAGGATGCTTAATATTATTTCCTTTAGAAGACATATGATTGTACGTCGATCAGAGGCCGGTCGATAAGACTGCCGATAAGAGGGCTGGGGGAGGGAGGGGGGATGGTGGTGGTTGTCAGGGCGGGTAAAAATTCAGCATTGAGGACTCGCGATTCTGACACATGGCTTACTTTCTTTCGGACTTCAGATCACGGCCAATGTTTGAAAGTCGCATCCTCTTGCGCAAATATCGTGCCTAGAAATCGTAAGAATATAGGTTGTCTATAAGCGCAATATATTAAAATAATGAATACCGGCACAAGGTATGATCCACTTGCATCTCTGAATACTGCAATTTAAGTCTTTCAACTTTATTCCATCCGCATAATCCGAAAAAATGGCTCAAATCCAGGGAAACGTGGATTTTTCTCGATTTTTCCCCGATGATGTGGCAACACCGTGCCGCGATGGGAGGTTCTGTAGTTAGATAAATGTATGTAATTACTGGTTATTTGGCCATAACATATGAAAAATGAAGGTTTATGGACTTTTCTGAATGAGCTCGACGAGAAATAGCCCCCCAATACTGAAATAAGTACTCGGTTTTCTATGATTTTAGGCAATGAAATATGGCAACACCGGCTTTTTTGGGGGGCTTTAAATCGGAAAAAGTTCTTAGAGGAAGGTTTTGACCACCCACGACCATTTTCTGCCAAAAAAGTTTAATTCTGGTGTAAGATGAGTCGCCTTTTTTAAGCCAGTTTAAATAATGATGAAAAACAAGAAAAATTCTAAAAAGTTTTTTTTAACTATGAGCGCAAAGTTTGACATCGACAAAAATTGGCCAAAGTGACTCTCTTACATCCCTAATGAACATACTTGAAGGATTTTTTTGTCCTCCGAAGGGATCGTTACGAAACAGCGCGTCGAATGCTGAAAAACCCGCATTTTTCGCCAAAATTGGCCTTCAGACCCATGTTTAGGCCAGTGGTAGACCCCGAAATAGACCGGAAATGACAAAACCATTGTGCATTCCGTAAAATATAGACCTTCAATGACCAAAAAATCGCGGAGTTGAGGAATTTTAGGGTGGGGCCAAAAAAGGCCCTTAACGATACCCCTCCTTTCTCTGATGTTTTTGTGTTATTCTCTGTGATTGCATAAGTAGTTATATCCTCATTTCATTTCCTTTTCCTTTCATTTTTTTTTTCTCTTTTATAGCATCTGTTTCCATTTACAATTATTATTTTAAAATAGCTTTCCTCTAGTATGAATTTGATGCTTCGAATGGAACCAATTTGTATTTTAATGACATTTCCAACTACATCATGGGTTTTCCCAGGAAGGTAGCCTCTCGTCCCTCTCGGACTCCACTGTTGCCAGATAAGTTGCTTTTTCAGCACTTTTCCCAATTCAAATCCATGTAAAATATTCTCATTTATCGCACAATCTGGCAACCTTTCGAGTGAAATAGAAAAAGGTGGAATTGTCTGAAAGTCTGAATCCTTCGAAGTTTATATTAATGATATTTCTTTTTGCACTTGGTCTTCACACAAAACAACTTATAAAGAGGATGTCCCGAATTGCCCAGATTTCCTTCAGTATTAAAAATTAAAATTTATGGTGATTTTTGTCTGTAGCAATTTCCATTCTGATGGGTTAATTGGATAGCCAATTAGACCACTACTTTTGCCATCAATTACTTCTGAGGCTAGATATTGAGGCTAGTGACACCATCAAAGAATTTAGAAGCCAAATTTGAGGGCTAATGATACCTTTATAATGGCTTTTTAGGCCCAAGTTGGGAACGTTTGACATCATCAGTCCATTTCTGTCGGCTAGTGACATCATCAATGTTTGAGATGCCAGATTCGGGGGCTAATGACATCATCAAAGGCTTAATATGCCTTTCTCATTATGATCGTCTTCGAGAGCCCAATTTGAGGGTAAAATGTCATTGATGGTATCTTAAGCTCGAATTTTGGTCTGATGAAATTACTTGATTGTGAGTGATTTGTTTCCTTATAAAGGAGTCTCTGTTAAGTTCTGGAGGAGGGGCAGAGTTGTTTAAGGGAAAAAAAGGGGGTAATGGTAATTTTAGCAAAATAAGGTTCAATTGAAATGGTATGTTTAGGAACACTGGTGAGAGGCAGATAAAATGTCTGGGATGAATGGCTGGCTATTAATCTGACATCAAAACCGGTTTTTAGCTGACTTGCTTGCTAATTTCTTCTGTGAAAACAATGCATTACCGATTTTCTGAGATCCCATGGTTGCCAAACCAGAAAAGAAGAGGGAAAAAATTTTGCACCCTCTTGAACTGAAGAAAACATGGGAAAGACAGTTTATGTATCGATGCTCCTGAAATATTGAAAAACAGTGATACAGGGCTTACCATATCCACATAGCCCCTGGTACCCAATAAATTCCTCTTGGTATCTTTGGTATAAAATGTAGACTCCTAAGGGCAACACCTTCTGGATCCATTTCTCGGATACATTCCCTGATTCGTTGTCTAGCTATTTTAAAGCCACGTTGGAGAAGTGCAGCTGCCACATACAACTGAATAAGAAAAATTGAAAGAAGTCACATAAACACAATAGACTCACATGGGGTAGACCCAGCAACGCTGCCCATGATCTGGAAGAAATTAAGCTCAATTGAAAGGTTATGAAAGTTCATTGGACACTTATTTCATTATTTTTCTAAGCATACCCCAGAAACCACCAAAAATTGAACAAAAAAATCGCCAGGAGAGGCTTTTGTTGGCCCGGAGATGATTCGCTGGAATGCCACCCCAAATGAAGATAAGCCCCTGTTAGTGGATGCACAGGTTCCTGTTTGCTGCGAGCGCAGCTGTCTCAATAATCTAAAAAAGCCTCTTCCTGCTGTCATTCCATCCAATTTTGAGAGATTTCTAGGGAATACCCATGAAACACATGGAATTAGGTGTCGAGTGAACTTTCATAACCTTTTGTTTGAGCTAAATTTCATACAAATTGAAGGCGACGTCAAAATATTCCAACATAAAATAAATTAAGAAAAAGTTAAGAAATGATCTTAAATTTCCATTGCCCAAGTCAGTTTAGAGATAGAGGTGATTTTTTTTAACGATTTAGGTTTTTTTTCTTTAAAAATAACTGGGCAAGGACTTGACTTACCATTCTTACGTTCTCAAATTATGGTGGCAATTTTAATCATCCCGTTAACACCGTCTATCCCAACCGCCAATTTCTGCTCACACTCACTGATGAGAGACAATGGTGCAAAAACAAACTTTCGTTCAAAATTGTAATGAGGAATGGATATTGAATCACTACACTGAAAGTTTAGGACCGAAAACAAAAAGAGTTGCACGGCAATCTGAGAATGTTAATGTAACCTTTAATAATCAGAGAATTTTGGTTGAAAGCTCTCCATTATTCAATACACGTTCAAAAATAGCATGAATGTAGTAGTATTAATTTACAGGATCAATTGCAGTTGCAGACAGACATTGGTCGTGGCAGTTAAATTGGTGCCCTTGTAATAGACTACACTAACACCACAAAATTGAAAAAGTTGAGGTACTCCTAAGTAAGTCAGTGGCTATTTCATCGAAAAATCTAAACTATAATACATCAATTAAATTAAACCTTTTCTTTTACAGGTTTCTAATTATACGACACACGGCCAGATTCACACTCTTGTCTCTCCTACAACAATCACATTTTGCCACCCCTTTTGACCTCTAGGTATTTCGAAAGTGACGAATTCCTTAATTGCTTTCAACATCCTACATATAAATTATTCATAGCACATTTTTTATTTACCTTAAAATTCAAGTACTAAAAATGATCAGGACCTTGTAGAGAAATAGCAGTGTGAATTGACTCGCCTGGTGTGTTAACAAAAAGGTTTGTTCAACAGGGGACCTTTTCTGTAAACTTTCCTTCTGTTTGGTCAAAATCTCTGTTTTCAGTTTTTCTGAACACCACAACTTTGGTAATATGGCCAATTCACCTCATCTTTTGATTCTTTTCATATTCGGCCAAAATAAGGAACCAGAGATTATTTTAGAAAATGGATCCTTCATCTGCGAATTAAGTATGACGTGGAAACCAAAAATCAGACAGAAATGATGTAAAAATACAAACAGTGCTTACCTCTCCGAAATGAGGATATTCGGTTTTTATATGTTGGATTTCTGTCCAAAGTTCTTCATCGCTTAATGGAACAGATAACGTTTGCTGTGCAGACATGTTCAAGCGAAGGCGAAAGAGTTCTCTTCGATCGACATTTAAATGCTGGGCGATCCGATACCACTTCATGCCTGTGCTTCTGAGAAACGTGATGGTTTCTGCCGTTTCATTGTCTGTTACCAAAAAATATGAATATGAGCATTACTACAAATTACTAGTAAAAAGACTTTTAAGCAAATAGAGATTGAATTGGTTAAGTTCTGTAATCTACAGTTCGGGGCTTATTGTCAAGCATGGAGAGAGACGTTCTTGTGGTGGAGTGGAATGTGAAATTCTCTAGTGCAGTCTGGGCAGGTTCTCTTGCGTCACAGCACAAGTCTCGAACTAGTTTCTCAGTCATTATCAGTAACATCTGTCAGAGCCACACTTGAGGACTGTCTATTTTGAGTGTGTATTCCTCCATTGCATCTACTAGCTACCTTGGCTAACAGCATACAAGAAATGAAGAGGTATGCCCTCTCAGATATGAAATCACCTTTGCACGCCATCAAGCTCAAGGTAATTCTAGGAAACTGACATGTCTGAATTGGTGGGGAACCTAGTTTTTTGGGGATTTCAAGTGTAAATAATGGTAGTATTCAGATAACAGTTGGACAGATTTATGCCAAAAGAGACGACATCATATTCAGAGTTGAAAGAGGTCTCTTTGTTGGAAAGTGTATGTTTCTTACGTCAACTCAACTAAGGTGTTCCTTTTCCTAAATTCAAGTTGCCAGAATTTAATTATGCCAAAAGTAACTGGAACGCCGTGGGTTCATAGCTTTGTCTAGAGCTCGCACATTGCATGTTGAGACAAACGTCAATCTCCGATCAGCTCTTAATTCCCACCACCCAACAGGTTAGTACGTGTAGTCAGGTGGGACCACTGGTGAGTGGTGACTTAAACAATACTTTGACGATTGTCTCAACATACGATGCGCCAGCTCTAAGTGATGAGGGTTGACTGGTAAACAAGGGATTTCTCATAGTGAAGGAGTAAACAAAAGATAATGCAGGTAAAACATGTATATGACGGATAAACATTGAAAGTAACCCCACTCAATGCATATCGAGTCTAGCTCTTCCAGAGTACACCTTTTGTTCATTAGAAAGGATGGGTCCGTTTTGGCATAAATCAACACCATCTGAGGCGTAAATGTGTACAGTTATAATCACTTACCGATTCCTCCATTTGCGGCAGCCATACCCATATGCAAGGTTCCACTGAAGGCCCGATGGGAATGGAAGGAGAAATCACAAAATACTCTTCAAAAAATTTCGCGACTCAGCAGTGCACGTTTTTTTAACAGAATTAAACAAAAAAATATTAAGTATTTTGAATACAGAGCAAGACCTGCGATCTACAGACACGACGGGACTTGAGGCATGGCATCGCATAGCTAGCAAAACAATGGAAAGAATGAGGTCAGAATGAGGTTATGGGATCACAATATTGAATTTTGATGGCTTTATATAAGTTAGTTAAATTTGCAGGAACTCATTATGTATAATATATCAATGGATTTGTTATTGGTTCGGCAATCATGAAAAAGGCGTTTCGATGAGAGGTTTTCCTTCGATTTTAGGGAAATTGCGGAAAATTGCCGGCCAATCAGAGTCTGGGAAAAATAGTTGACACCGATTGGACCGGTGCGCCCGCATCATCGATCGCACAAAAAATTATGTTTTTCTG